CAGGGAGGGGTACCGCTCTTTCACATAGAAGGTCACACCTCCTCCCTTCTTCCCAACCCAATCCTTCTTATAAAGCCTATAGCCCTCAATATTTACTGTCCAATCGTGTGTGTCATACCACCAGGTCTCTGTCAACCCAATCAGATCGAATTCCTCAACCACCAGAAGGAGTGCCAGTTCCTCCTGTTTATTTCCCATGCTTCTGGCATTCCCATAAAGACACCTGAGCTCTCCCCTAGCCGCCTCAGCTTTTCTGTCATGCTGCCAGTGTCTCAAGATGTCAGTAGTTTTCTGGATGTCCATTACTTGAATGCCCTCTCGTGTGTCATTGTGGCTAGAGGATTCATGCACAGCAGTGAAACCTTCTCCCCAGCCCCAAGACATGCCTAGTTCAAAGCCCTCCTCAACAAGTCAGCCACTCGTGTAACAAAGAGCTTCATCCCTCTGCCTGTGAGATGAAGATCATCCCTTGCATGTAGACTGCTGTAGTTAAACCGTCCTAAGGTTGAGGTATCCAAAGCCCACATGGTGACACCATCTCCAAAGCCTTCGGTTGACCTCCTCGATGCACTCCTCCCTCCGATGGCCACAGCCTCTGACTGGGAGGATTGAGAAGACCACTTGTGCTCCTATGTCCTTGAGCTTCACCCCCATGGTCTTGTAGTCTCTCATTATCCTCCCAGGGCTACTTCTTACCATGTCATTGGTGTGCACATGGAAAAGAAGCATGGGGTAGTGGTCAGTAGGGCAGACCAGTTTAGGGATCCTTGCCATAACATCTCTGATCTTGGCTCCTGGAAGGCAGCAGACCTCTCGAGCAAGGGGGTCTGGACAACAAATGGCTCCTTCTGTGCTCCGCAGCAGGGAATCTCCTAGGACTATCATCCTACGCTGTTACCTTGCTGGAGTTGGCTGACCCCGCACAGATGCATCATCTATCTGTCGATGGTGTGAGGGCTTCATAGCTGTTGTGCAGGGTTATTGGTGGGAAAACTGATGCACGTTGTGGCTTCAGTCCTGATGTCACCAATGTCCACCTGCTCTCAGTTGGGGCACCTTGTTCAGGTGCACTCTTCTGTCCAGTCTCCATGGCTTCCTTCTTCAGGCACAGGGCCTGGCAGTAAGCATCAATCTCTGTCTCGTGTTCCCTAATGATCCATAACCTGTCCACCTCCTCCTGTAGCTCCCTCACCCAGTCCTCCAGTCTCCAGCAGCGAGCACATCCCACAAGTGGGAGCGCTCATGCCCCTAATCCCAGCATCCAGCAGACGTGCTTTGCAGCCCTTGCAGCCTAGAGTGAAGGGTTCCATCTGCATGGAGACTGGGACCATAGGTTCTGTCTGGGTGGAGGGCTCTCAGGTACCAGGGGAAGGTTGCCTAGGGGTGCGGCGTGTACCCATCACCATATTGCAGGGTGAACGCTGGTTGCATGGCTTCCTGGGTGTATGTATAAGTGGGAGACCAGGTGGGTGTCATGCCTAGCCCATGGCCTGGTGGTTACAGCACTGTGTTGGAAAGCAGGAATCAGGTTCAAGACCCTTTTGGTGAGTCTCCCACTGCCTGGCTGTTAGGAAACTGCCCGGTCTCTAACTTCTGCTAGTTGTGGTTCTTCTGTGACTAAACATATGGGGCTTACCCAGACTTGTACACACACCTGAACAATCCTATTGGCCAGAGACAGGCCTAGTGAGTATGTCCTAGAGTTTGGCAGGAACTTGCATTTACCTAGCTAAACAGCAAACTGTGCACAAGTGTCAACCACTGCATATGTGAAATTTTGATGCATAAAGGGGAAATACGATTTAGCTCTTGCTACATGCGCTAGGACCCCCTCCATGGCCCGCTCTAAGGCAAGGCAGCCCAGCAAACTGTCCCTACCTTGTATGGAATGTCCGTGTACTCATTCAAGAACATCTTTAATTGGCTGATGCAGATGCGGAGATCTCCGTCCGTGAACTCATACGGAATATTGAACCCCAGGGGTCCAAATTTCCTACGCTCCAACACGTTGCCATGGAACAAGCAAAGTGAAAGTAATAAGACTTTAAACTCTGTGACCTGCGGGGCATAGGAGCAAGGAAAGGAGTGTTAGTTGATATGGGATTGGCTTATAAGGAGACAACTTTGGAGGCAATGTACTTTCTCTTAGGCATGATGGCAGATGGACAAGCTAGGTACTTAAGTGATCAAATCTACCCATTTACTGAAGCTGATAGGAGCCTGATGGTGCAGAACATAGGCTCAGGCTACTCCATGGGGGATAGTTATGGTCCAAACTTTTCACACTTGGATGCCTAGGATGGAAGAATGGAACTCATTTCTACAAGATGTTGTGGCAGCTGACAGTTTAACCAAAATCAAAAAGGAACTGGACAAATTCTTGGAGGAAAGGGGCATCAGTAGCTATTGAGCATGCGAGTTAGGGGTACAGTCTCTGAATCAGAACTTACTAATCCTTAAACGTGGAGATTGTAAACAAGAAAGGAACAGTGGAAAAACCCTTGGTCATACCCTGTTCACTCTCTCATTCAGCATCCACTCTTTGCCACTGTGGGACACAGGATACTGGGCAAGATGGACCCATGGGACTCCTATACATGAGTGTGTCAGAGCAGACTTGATTAACTGAGTCTTCTGAAGTGTGGCAATTGCTGCGCTCCAACAGCCGCCTGCATCTCGTGTATCAGTGTTCCCATGCTTAAAAATGGCAGTGGAGTTTCTTGAAATAAAGCTTGTCAAACAAGCATTAGGTCAAGTTCCCCCACTACCATTTTTAAGCATGGGGACATGAAGGTGCGGCGGTGCTTTAATTAGAGCAGCTCTCAAAGTGCCCATGGTCTGACCCAGTAAGTGACAGTTCTTGTGAAGTAAACATCTAATTTAGGTAATGCTCTTTAAAAAATGTGGGGCACACTATTTTCACATGTGAACTCTCACATCAAATAGGCTGCTCACAAAGACAATGTTGGCTTTCTAGCATGAGAAGGAATTTGTTGTTGTTTAGATGATATACAGAGGAGCAGAAAGCTGGAAAGGAAAACTCAACCAGGGATGCTCTACAAAACTGTTAGCAGAGAAACTTGCTATGATTCATGATGAATGTGGCAAGCTGGCCATGGTGGAGAAGTGGAAGACAGGACATGGCTCTTACCTTGGAGCAGGAATTCAAGAAGTCATCACTCAGATTAGTGTACGACTTCAACAAATTTGCCTTGACCCCTCGTGGGGGCTCAATGGTCATCTTGGAGCCATTCTGGAGGATGGACACTGGGAACTGGTTACTAGGTAAACTAGTGAGCCAGAGGCGAAAGTCTCGGTGCACCTAGACAATTAAAAGGTGGCAGGTGCTTTAAGGGTTAAGTAAAGATACAGGAATTTTGGGGAAGTCCTCCTAACTGTGGAGATTGTCCTCCCTCATGACTGGCCAATAATCTTCCATCACAGATGACCCCCAACCTCCCCAGAAGACCCTCCTCCTCCTGACATCACCTATCCTCAGAACCACAGGGATTTCTTTCAACAGAGGTACCCTGTTCATCTCTCCAACCCTGCAACAGGCTTTTCAACTGGAAATGATCACTGAGAATTCTCTAGCCCAACTATGGAGCTGTCTGTCAGGTTCTTCCAACAAGAGGGAAGAGTTCTATGGCAAAAATGCCTGGGCCACATTCCTCCCCCAGGACAGTGGCAGTCACTGCCTTTGCCAAACAGATTTGGTGTAACACAAAAGCCATGTTCCTTCCCCCTGCTGGAAGCCTGAGCAAGTGATAAGATGATGTCTCTCACCAGCAGGCAAATGGAAGGGGAGGCACCAATGCAATGCTGTGTCTGCAGGTAAGAGTGAGGTGGTGACTGATAACAGACTCGCACATGGGGAGGAGGCAGTGATAGCAATTGATATTAGTAAGTTGAGATATAAATGTTAAGTCTTCACTATGGGGTCGAACTGCTCCCTAATCACACAGAGCAGCAGTGCATTGTGGGATTAGGGAGCAGCTGTGGCCTACTAAATAGGCAACTAGCCATAGTTGTGCTAAATGGTTTTGGGAAGTGGGGCTCAGGTTAGTCTCCTTTCTGTTCGCAGGAGTCTTCCTCTCCTTCAAAGCACAGGATGATGGTTAAAGCAATGGGCAATAAGCCTTAGCTGTGATTCAGATGAATGCCCCTGCATTCAAGAGTGTAACCTTGTCAGGATTGATGTTCTCAATGAGTCTCTCTAGTGCCGGCATCCAGCTTGGGGCCAGGTGGCAGTTCTGGAAGAAGACCCATTTCCCACGTTCCATTGCACTTCGCATCATGGTTTCTGCTCTGGGACCCTGCAAAAAGAAACAAGATCAGCCTCAGCAGCACCAGTTTACCAGGGCAACTGGATGCAGCACAACTTAAACCTGTTGGAATGTACCAACCTGACAGCTGCCATCTGGTCCAGCACAGAGAACTGAACTGCAGACCTGTAGAGCTATAAGTAGAAGGCTCTGCAGCTTGAATTAAAGGGCTAGGCTCCAAAGCTGGAGCTGTACCAGTTCCAAATTTTCTGGGGGATCCTTAACATCCATGAACCAGAAACCCACTCACCACTGCATATCCTTAGCTTTGCTTAACTGAGGGCACATGATCAGCTTTCCATATTCCCAAACATGAGCCTAGCTGAACCTTATCAATGAACAAAGGGCAGAGGTTGGGTAAAATTCTGTGCCTGCCCTTTAGAAATTAGTTTTGCTTTTCATGTTTCGCTACGTGCAGATTTTAAGTCTGTTCCACAAAGAGAATCTCAGAAAGAAACTACTGACTTATAACTAAAGGCATTTTGAAGATGAAGGAGGGACCCACTGGTGAGTGTGTGAAGACAGAAGCGCTGAATTCATTTCTCACTTAGCAACAAATGAGACAGAGTGGTAAACTAGGGCCCTAAGGGGCATTTCCATTGGGAGTGGGGAGGGCTTAAGACTTCCTGGAGTTCTGGGGGTAAACCCTGGTGAACGGGGATGGCTATTTCTCACAAAGAATGTGCACAGCAGTGCCGCTGGCTTACCTGACCCTGGCCCAAAGAAATGGCAGCGAGCTTCTTGGAGAACTTCATTTCTTCAGCAAATTTGTAAAGATCAGCAGCAGGGTCTGTCCCAGGAGAGAGGACGAATATCAGGGGCGTGGTAGAAGTGGACTCCTTGAATACCGCAGAGAGATCTGTGGTCTGGAAGAGAAGATGGATTTTCACTTAGAGTAAAAACTAACAATTGACACAGGGCAGGGTGGGTAAATGCAGGAGCCATTCCTTCAGAGCCAATGCACAGACTCTACCCTTATGCCCACTCCCCTGTCTGCCCTTGGTAATCAGTCAGCCTGACAACTGGATTGATTTCATAGATTTCATAGACATCAGGGCTGGAAGGGACCTCGGAAGATCATCGAGTCCAGCCCCCTGCCTGAGGGACAGGAAGTCAGCTGGGGTCATAGGATCCCAGCAAGATAAGCATCCAGTTTCATCTTGAAGGTGTTCAATGAAGGCGCTTGAACCACCTCCGGTGGCAGGCTGTTCCAGACCTTGGGGGCTCGGACAGTAAAGAAGTTCTTCCTTATGTCCAGCCTGAAACGATCTTGAAGTAGTTTGTGACCATTCAACCTC